GCGTAATCCGGATGTTGATTGATCATAGTCACCGCAGTTTCAGCAGCAAAGTTATCCAATTCGCTTGTTGTTACTCCCGAGCACAAATTGGTTATAACTCGATGTGCGATTGCAGGCTGCAAAAGGAAAGTATAACAATGCATTTCTCTCAACGATCTTGGGTAAGTTATGCTAAACTTGACTTTCAAGAAAACATTAATGCAAAATTAAGTAAAAAGAACAGCGATAAAGGATAAGATTCCCTTTCTGTTTCAGTTAGAAAGGTAACATGTGCGAACGCTTACTGGATCCACAGACTCGTCCAGACCGTAACATAGCGCCTCGATTCTCGCAGTTATCTCGTCGAAATGCACAGGTTCCTTACGTCCATCTGACAACAAAAAGAGACGTTAATCTTAAAGAGGGGACAGATCGTGGTAAACGCAGTAAAGACAGTTTTGCGCGAGGATACGTCGAATCGCGGCGGGTGCGAGTGCGTTTGTACAAATTATCTTAAATTACCGCGCTTGAGCACGTGCATGTTGCCGCCCCGAAGCGTCACAGCTGCAGCAGATATATATTTTTCCAAAGATCGGCCGACGTCCCACGTCCTACGACGAGTAACCGACACTTGAAAACATTGCTCCGTGCAGTCCGTGTGATTTTACCCGCGAAACGGAAGTGACGTCGGCCACGTGAGTCTGTCACGTGTACCGCGACTAATCGCAGCCGCGTCTCGCGCGGACGTCACTTCTGCGAACTTTGCGATTTACCCTTTCTCGCGCCATTTCGAAAAGATCAGCCTTTTCATCCGTTTTAAATACATAAATACGTACGTATGCGATTTTTGTGTTGCGCTTTAAGAGAATTGCATTAAACTTGAAAGTGTCAGTAATAGTCTCGCCAAAGAAAATTTAGAAGAAAACTTCATTGTTGCAACGAAATTGTTGCATTGCTCGGACTCGTTCGAGCGCCCTTATCGATACTCGACAGAATAGTATTCGCATATTGTAAACAACATCGATACTCGATATCTCTGTTTATAGATGATAAGGCTATTCGACGTATTCAATACTGCATCCTTTTTAGATTATTATTATTATTATAAGAGTATACATATTTCTTCTCAGATTTTACCATCTACGATATATATGTATATGAAGGGGAAAAATAATAATGAATGCAATAAAAAATAAATACATAAACATTATAACGTGCCAATTCTTTTTAGTGACACAAGTCGACACAAACATCGTTCTATCCTTCTTGGCATTCAATGAATAATTGTGTCGACTTGTGTCACTAAAAAGAATTGGCCTAATATAATATATAAATATATTTATTGCAATAAATAGACGCAATCGGGAAGGCGCAAAGCGCAAACGTCAAACGCGGCCTGAAGTTGCCGTCGATCCGATCTGGTGGAATACTCGCAGTATAGGAAAGCGCAGGGGCAAAATACACGGAGCACACGGAGCAAAAAGGAAAGGGGGGCAAGGGAGGGGGGGGGATTGACACGCGCGCTGCAGCGCGAGACTCGAGATTCTGCAGGAGCGAGGGAGCGAGATGCGCGTTGCGCGCTATATATGTATGTCACCGTGGTGGTGTGCTCGTCGCTCTCGGATAACTCCGTATACCCGCGAGCTGGCCCTTTAAATATTGATAGAGCGCCGCCGACGCCGACGTTTCCGCGCGGCCGGGATCCGGGATGACGCGCGAGTGAGGGCCGGGAACCGGGGAGGACTCCCGAATCGTGGCGCGCGACGCCCCGGAACGGAACGGCAGCTAGAATGCGCGGCCGCCCTCGCCGCAGCACGTACGTGTCGCAAGTGAGCCGAGCTCGCGATGGACGCGGCCATGTTTCCTGCTAGCAGAAATCCTGTCCGTTAGTGACTCGCGCTGATCGTGTGTGCCACCGGAAGAGCGGGAGCGTGCAGAATGCCGAAATGCGATGTGAAGACGAGGTATCTGCCAGCTACGTTCGCGTGGACGGTCCTACTCGTCACCACGGCGCTCTTCTTCATCTTCCCGTAAGTTGTCCCTCTCTCTCTCTCTCTTTCCCTCTTCTCTCTTCTCCTCTCTCTCCGCCTCTCCTCCGCCGCCTGCTCTCGTCGAAACGGAGCTCCTCTTCGCTCTCGGAGAATCTCGCAGCTGAAACTCACGTGTTTCGTTTCGCAGATGCTCGAATTACTATGTCTCTCACTTGGGCTTGTGGGTACCGGCTCTGCAAGGAGTCATCACCTTCTTCGTAGTGATCAACTTCTCCCTGGCGACGTTTATGGATCCCGGTGTTATACCAAAAGGTAACTTGACACACACGAGATATTTATACTTACTCCACTTTACGACGACGAGTCACGGATACGGAGTGTAATGATTATTTTTTGTTAAAGCGCCTCCTGACGAAGACCGGGAGGATGACTTCCGTGCTCCGTTGTACAAGAGCGTGGAGATCAACGGCATCACCGTGCGCATGAAGTGGTGCGTCACCTGCAAGTTTTATCGACCTCCACGTTGCTCACATTGCAGTGTCTGCAATCATTGTATCGAGGTACGTTTGTTTTCTCTTGTCAAACGTTTGTTGGGAACAAATTTAGGGAAGGGTACCTTAACAAACCTCTATATTTTTAGACATTCGACCATCACTGCCCGTGGGTAAATAACTGCATTGGTAGGAGGAACTACAGATACTTCTTCTTTTTTCTTCTGTCGCTCAGTTGTCATATGACCAGTATATTTGGGTTCTGTCTATATTACTTACTGGAGCATAAAGAGCAGTTGAGCGAAGTTAATACCATTGTTGCGTATCCTTTACGTAGAAGAATTATATCCAAAATACTCATAAAATACAGGCCGCACAGTTGTAAGGATTACGTCGATTTCCATTGTCGATTTTGTAAGATCCTTAACTTTCGCACAGTCTCATCCTCATGGGAGTGGTAATGCTCTTATTCATTCCAATCTTTGGACTGACCGGCTTTCACGTAGTCCTCGTATCCAGAGGACGTACCACGAACGAACAGGTAACAGGCAAATTTAACGGAGGCTACAATCCTTTTTCTCGTGGTTGTCTGCGCAACTGCTGTTACACACAATTCGGACCACAATACCCAAGGTATTGCAAGGAGCCAAGGTATTGTAAAATTAATACTGTACGCAGAAGTTATTTTGTTATAATGAATTTTCTCTGTGATTTGCAGCTTACTTAAGCCTGATAAGTATTCAGGGAAGCGACGTGGAGCGTGTGCGTCAGAGATATCTACTATAGGCAGTGAGAACCAGGTAAAGACCTACATGGATAGCAGCAATGGTGTTAGAAATGCCAGTTCAAATGCTTACAATAAGGTAAGAGCTAGCGCAGTCTCGCTTATCTTACTTTGTAAACAACGTGACTTCAATTCGGAATCTGGAGCTTGTATTGTTATTATGATTTGTATCCTTTTTTACTATTCACTAGCACAGTTATTAGACAAATTTTGGACGAAGCCTATATCTGAAGCATTCTTCTATAAACACTCTTCTACTTATACGCAATTTTCAAGCATGTACAGCATGGCTAGCATAGTTGTACCACACTATTACAGTAATTGTAAACAATGTAAACAGTTGTGTATGCAATTCCTTAGCTTCGTAGTATATCTAGTATAGAAATTTTACTATAGAAATTAATTAATACATATATTTACGTCTTTTTCACTACATCTGTAGAGTATGAGTTGCAGCGATGATACCTCATCTATCAGTACCGTTCAATTCAGAGTCCTAAGATGCCTTTACTGATTTTTTCCTACGGTTTATGCATATCCCATTGATCCAAACTGATATCCTAATATTCATAGGAAATATATGTAATGTATATTACAGAGAGAAATATAATATATTTGAAATTGTTTCTCTGACGTGATTGATAACATCATTGATTCGTCTTTACAGTTATCTCCTGGACGAGATGGATCGGATACAGACATGGAACCGACGGCGTCTCAGTCTGCGGACTGCGAACCTACGCCACCGTTGCAAAGACACGGTTCCAAAAGCAATTTCTTCCTGCCACCTGTGGAGAACAACGAATCTCCCAGGCATCCTCCGCCGTCGCAGCTTCGCCATCCAATACATTATCCTAGAGGCAGTCCACATCCAAGGCCGAGGTACTTGCGGATAAATGTAACAACGATTTTCAACGCGCGAAATGCTCTGGCGCGATACTTATGTACATCATATTCACAGAGGGATGAACGGATCTCGAAGTCACACTCCCGACCCGTTATCGCCGGAGACGAGTGGTTCGCCCGCCACGATTCCTCAGCGTCAGGGTGGCGCCAGCCCGACGATGCAACAACGTATCAAAGCTATTGGAGTACCTACTCCGCTTGCCATATCCAGCCCTATACGAAGGTACATCATACTTATGCATTACCGAAAGAAAAATCAAAGAATATATTAGCTCGATAAAAAAGAAAATTATCTTCTAATGTAAACACATTTACACGTAATACAAAAATAATGAAATATTGATAATCCAATTAATTTGAGTGCTAACATTTGGTCGATTCTTATTCGAATACTTAAATACAATTTCAGATTTATTATATTTAACTATATATATATCGCGATTTTCACATTGCACAAAATTATCTCAATGTAGAGAGCAAGAGGGAAGCGCCACACTAGTAATAGTTACAATGCATCTCTTAAGCACGCTGCCAATACAAAGTGAACGATATACCTCTATATGATATCCTTTTTGCTACCCTTCGATATGATGTCGGCCTGTTTTGTCAAGATCTCCTGTCCCTCACTGTCAAACACCTCACTCTTGCTCTTCTTTCTCCTCCTCTTCTGTCACCACTGTTCTCACCTTCCGGAGGACGAAGGAACGTGTCAAAAAGGAAAATTACGCAATGTAGCTTACAATAAATATTGTAGAGGATTAGTCTCTCTGCATGTACATATTACAAGATATATGGTATATAGATAAGTTTGTGTCCCACTGCAGGGGGTGGTAACTGCAAGGAGCTGCTTTCTACCATCATGTTGCAACCTACTGCAGGTAAACACGAACTTCATCCTACGAGGACATACCGTAGTTTACAATTATGCTTTCTTGCATATATATATCTTTGTATATATAGAAAAACATGGTTGTAAAAATATATACACATAAGACACACACACAACATACACACATTACACGAGACACTGCTACACATACATTTCTTAGGTTCGCTATCTTTTATGTTTCTTGAATAGATGCTAATTTCTTAACAGGAATGATGCGCTGCTCTCTCTCCTGTATGTCTCGCCAGAGCCGTATTTGTATGGCTACAATGCTCAAGCACTCGCATATTCATCTTGGTTCACTGTACTGTGCATTTGTCGAGTTATCGAAAGCATCTTGCGCCGCGGAGGATCTCGGGGGATCTAAGATTCGCTGTGTCTGTTACAGATCAAACCCGGGTACACCGACGCAGGTTCGTCGGCCAGATTTCATAGGTGTGAACGAAGCGCCGACGTATTACGATATACAGCAGGGAAACAATACGGGAGTCGGCGTTCCCGGTACCGTCATTACTGGCTACAGCCCGCAGCGGCGTTTCCTGTCGGAGAGCGAGCTCGTGCGACAGGGCACCGATCATCCATATTCGAGAACCAACAACACGGTCGACAACATACGCGAACTGGCAGGTTCGCCGCAGCGCGGTGTTTACATGTGGAAGGACAACTCACCCGGCAGCTATCCAGGTCCACCCCCTGGTGGAGCGGTGAGCGGGGCGCCGCATCAATCGCCCTCCCATCGACCGCCCCCGCCGTACGACTACTATCGCTCCAATCCCACGAGTCCAACTCAACAGTCGCAATACACGACGAACGCTCCTAGGGCGGCGTATCATCCAGCCATGAGGGGTGGAGTGCCCGTCTTCCCGCCGCATCAACCGCACCAGTCGCCGCAGGTCAAACGGAAAGCGACCACGATGGCAACACCGACCACACCGACCTCGGGAGACGCCCGGCGTCGACCGATGTCCTTTGTCAGAGCCTTGGAGATGACCGACTCTATGGAGATGGTTTCGGCGCCCAACGATCCGAGGTCACAGAGACCGACCACACCGACACCGGACCGCGCGAGCGTATACGATATGAACTATGAAATATCCGTATAGCCCACCTTTCCGGTCTCCGCACCATCCTGCGGCTGGACGGAGATTCTACGAGAGCCGCCGAGTAGTCTGCACGTCTTACGTTCCAACGAGGAAAGGATGTATGCCGTTTACGAGATATCCGTCTGAATTCTTCCGCGATCGATGCAGTTACGCGCGTTTAACACTGCACGTGGGCAGTAAACGTAAACCGCGGCTGGTTCTTCAGTTTCGTTTATCGCCATGGGATTATTCTTACGAATACACGAGCATTGAACTTGCCACAGTAATCAGGATACATATTGGACTTGCCACAGCAATCAGGATACACGCAGTGTGCGTACCTGAGAAATCGCCATCAGTGATGTGTGTGCGCTCGCGCGCGAGAATCATATCGCGATTGACAGTACATAGCATTCATTCTCGGCGAGGAGGTCGGTCCGTCGACGCATTTAATACGTTGTGAATTTACACGAAGCAGTAAATGCACAACGAATCTTTATTTCTCTAATTCTTCCTTCGGCAGTGGAATCTTACGGTACGACAGTATAGAACTTGCATTTTACAAGATGTATCAACGGCACACGAATGTCCTGTCGTATTAGTAATATCATTTAGTCGTTGTTAATGAAAAATAGATTCCATGTGCGTAGCAGCAAAGCATGTTCGTTACGTCGAGAATTAACAGCGTTCGGTCCGACTGACGATCCGAATTAATGAGTCACGGAGGCGTCAACGAAAGTATATCCCGAGCGCACAGAGGTTGACCTTTATTGGAACCATCGCCGATAATCGGTCCTCTCGCTTGACAGAAGCAATTATATTTTTTAGTACACGTTTAAGGTCAGTTTAGATTTTTATACAATGACACCGTGACTCATCCTCCTATAGAATACAATGTTAATCCAACGTCATCCTTTTCTTTCTCTCTTTTTTTTTCTTGTTCATATCTCAATTGCCGATAAGGTGCATGATTTGATAAATGAGAAAAATACTAGGGATTACTTGATTACATCCTTATTAACTCTTCGGATACCAGAGAAGTCCATTGTGAAAATGAAAAAAAAAAAGGAGTTTACTTAACCAACTTAAGTCATTATCGGGATAGAATAACAAATCTGTGTAAAATAATCGTGGAATATGTAGCAAATTTTTAATATACATATTTAACAATATTTATACGTAAATGATAAAAAAAATATAAGACTTTATAATTTGACTTGTTTGTTATAAATGATGATTTTATCGATGTGCCCACTAACATATTTTATTTCTATATAAAAGGTTCGCGCGCAGAAGAGAATGTGAAAGAGAAAAAGGTATGAGTGTATAAAAAATTAACGTGCGAATGAGAAGAATGCATTTTCAGAAGAGTGGAAAGTACAGTTCTAGTTTTCTCAATTGTATACAGGGATGGCTGTTCATAATATATACGCAGACGTAAAAAAATAAAAACTATTTTGATTTTGTTAAAAAAAAAAAGAAGAGAATTGTAATATACGCATTGCATAAATCCATTGCTGCATCCATCGCTGCTGTTAAATTTGTGATATACATCCCGCTTTTGAAATTGCATGATAGTTTCTCTGTGGTGTATGTGTATAGGAAGCCAATAATTATCGGCTATAATTACATTGCTAACAGACTGCAACGCGATATTAATTGAATTTTGCGTACGCACTCGATTCACGACTGGAATCGACTTAGTGTTACACGACACATATCATTTTGACGTCAAACATCGAATATTTTTTAGATTGAAACAAAAATTTATGCATTTGGTATAACGACTGCTTGACTACAGACACAAATGTTATATAACGAGGATTATAAGCATTTCTTCCGTGTCTCTTGATAAGCTACATTTAGGTTTCGTTTTAACAGATTCATTTTTTGTTTCTATTAAGATATAACAAACTGTGCCAAAAATTTCCCCGTACTATTCAATCGTGTAGTCTTGCTTAAAATAGCATTTAATGAGACAACGGTACAACGTTACGAATTGACTAAGGTAATAATGCGTAAGGTATGGCGAGTGTTAAGTGTTTATAATTCGGTGTATTTGTACATAAATATTGCTCGTTACTTCTATCACTTAAATGTACATACATATATCATTCGGTACTTACGTATCGTCGCAGCAATCTACAGAATAAAAATCATGAAACATAGTAAATTATACTGTGTTGTATCGTGGTAATATTTTTTGATGTGACGTTTTTTGTTTTTCTATTAAGCCTATTATTTTGTTGAAGAAAAAGAGAAAAGGTCACGTTATCGATGGACTAAACGCGTTTTTGAATTTGTAAAAAAAAAAAGAAATATTTTATTCAAATTAAAGTGTCTACATCTCAATTAAACAAAAATACTGCATGAAGATGTATCCAGCATCAACGCACGTGTTTTTACAATGTTTCACATTACGCTTAATAAATTTTAAATATATTAGCTATTTAAATATGAGTTATTAAAATTAACTAAAACTACTAATTAAATTAACTTTAAAATTGGAAACAACTATTCTTTTCAGTGTTAAGAAATGCTTATTACTCATTCATATTATATTGGCAACTAAAGTAAAAATAATCTGATTTTAAATCGAAAAAATTGCTGAAAACTTATTAATTCTGATAAGTTATTAGCAAGATGAAATTAGCTAAGTCAGTGTGTCAATTGCTTATCCGTCTTGAGAAATATTTTGAGAATATTCAATATTTTAGTTTTAAATAAATTAGCATTTATATATATACATACATATATATATATATATATTTACAATCAGGGATCTGTGTAAACAACGTTATACATTCTGTTGATGATATTAAATATAACTTGCAACGGTCCTAACAGCTCTGACTTCTCCAATATTCTCATTTTGTATAATGATTAATATGCATCTCCTGTTTCCGGATCTAGATGTTTAATTTTAATGTAACTTTAAATTTTATATAAAATAGTAAATTGTTTGATACACAAAAAATAACGAAATAAATCTCACCATAATGATCTGAAATGCGATGTTTCACACTCTCATTAAAATATATGTTTGGATGTTTAAACAAAGTGTCGTTAAAACAATTATGTTTAATTTCATAACACTTGTTACATGCTGCAGAATATTGACCGTTCTTGGACAATTCCATTATCGTTGATCTCTCTGGTTTAGTGAATTAGTTAACAGACAAAAGAATTCACATTATGATTGTATAAATTAAATATTTTGATGCTTACCCAACGCGTTAAACCCGCAATCAGTAAGTTCATCTTCAAGTATATCATGCAACATGTGTTTAAAAGGGCATCCGTGATTATCTCTAGGTCCAACGCTCGACTCCATAATTTTTTGACATGTGTAAGGCTGATAATCTCGTCGACTACCTTCCAGCCCATAGTTAAATCTTATGTTATAACTATGTTTTTCTTTGATAAATGTAGCTTCGTCCATTTTTTTCATGAATTCACCTTTCCAAAAAGTCATTGAGTCGGAGAAAGAGATGCCTATGCCCTTCAGGAACAAACCGTACTGTATTCTACCACCATGTGTAAGATGATGATCCTTCTTCAGCACTCTATGGAGCACTCTCATACAGAGAGGATAAGAGGTTTCTGCAAGCTATAGGCAAACAGCAAATAGTGGTATTATTACGAAGTTTGGGCATGTACGTCTTGTAAGATAAAAAAAAAACTCACATTATTAGTTATACAAAATTCATGATTAAATATTAAGTAAGCAACGTATGTTTACCATATCCAACTGATTAAGCGAAACGTATTGCAGTATCTCTGGTTCCTGTACCAGTATGGTACTCTCAGTATGAATAACATTTTCTAAATTGGCAAAAATGCGAGTGAACCTTTCATCATTGTACAAATTGGCTCTAGCTTCGCGTGCAATCTGGCAATGTAATGATAAAGTAGAAAACAGTAACAGTTGATAAATTCACGTTCATCATGTTCATACTTACTTCGAAACCCGATATGAGAATTCTCCTAAAGTGCGACACAAACACGAATGCCATTTCTTGTTCAGTTATAAAAGCTTCGCCTTGCATAATGAAAACCTTACGTTTTTTAATTAAACTGGCTACATGAGAAAAAGGTATCCTGTAAAATTGTGTGCTGTCAATGTCGCTAACATGTGGAGAAGATATTCGAAGATATTCCCTGATATCTTCCTTTTCGCTCTGGCTAATCTGGAAACAACTGAGAATTAATTGATCCAATATATGAGAAACATTAAATCTAAAATGTTGCAACAAGCAATAACCAACCGGTGTAAAGACAAAGTTGTTAACGCACATGAACTGCCTGACCCCTTCATTGTCTAATGAAGAAAATCTCCACTTGAACAGCCTAGCTTCTTGCTTTAAAAACCAGTGTTTCTTGAACGCATTGAAAGCAACTACGGATCTTAATATAAGGTGAGATATATGATCGTTTCTTCTGGCACATATATCCGTGTCAGTGTGTGATTTACATCCAGGGCTATCAACTAATGTTGCAAATTTGTCCATTCCTTCTTCACGCAATTTCTCAACCAAGGCAGCTTTGCGTTGTGACACTGACATTGTTAGTTTTTTTAAGTGGATACGTTCCACCAAAGAGAGAACTATGAAACATTATATAAAAACACATTAATTAAATATGGAAAGAAATTAACACTATATTAACACATATATAACATAAATAAATAAAACTAAAGTGTGGAATTTAAATTAACCTTTCAGGCGTGTTTCACAGATTTCTTCCAGCTCGTTCAACGTTACCTCTCCAAACGGAACGTTCTGATACAATTGTAAATCATGAGGATACACATCACCAGGATTCCTTGGTGAAAGTTTGATAGGAGTTTGAGGTCTCATTGTGGATGTCATGTTACTCGAACTCGATCAAACTTGAATGGAATCAAAACTGCAGGATAAAATAACAAATCAAACAAATAAACCAATCAACTTCTTATACGCTCTGGTAGTCACTTAAATTTGCAACAAACATGCACAAACATCGCTAAGCTGTACCACGTTCAAAAGTGATTGCAACAATTGAGAGACCTAACGTCCAATCACGTAACTATTATACTAAACCGGAAGTAAACTACTTGCTTCCTTTTCCGTATTAACAAAAACAAAGGAAGGTAGAAAAACAAATGTTATATTTTGTAAAAAGACTGTATTCATTCTGAGAAATATATAAATTCAATGAGAAGATATAATTCGTTAACAATAAATGTGACATAACGATCAATAAACAATAAACCATGTCGGAAAAGAATCATATAATAAAACAGAAATTATTTATTATATTACTTTCTTTTATTATTGTATATATATATATGCAGCAGAGTCACGATAATGTATAGCTTGCATATTCGCGAACAAAAAGATAAAATATTTTTCTTCAATATAAGTTGGAACATCGATATCGATATCATTTGCATTGCTGCGTTCTGAAACCTATCAGAAAAAGTTTGCGAATGTCTACTTTCTACACTTGCTACACCTCTTTACTTCTATCTAAAAATATATATGATTTTTTCTAAAAAGAAATCATTAATAAAATCATAAAATTAGATCATTATTAAATCATTATCATTAAAATCATTAGTTTATTTTTACTATATATTTTTTTATTAGAAATAAGAAAAAATACTAATATTAGGGGAGAATCGGAATTAGAAATAATAATTAAATATAACGTACAATTAAGAAAAAGAACAAAAAACAAGATGTATAAATATATATAAGACATAAGAATATTATAAAATGCAGTACAAAGCATAAACAAATCAACCAATTAGCTTAGTGATTCTTCAATATGATTGGCTCCTGCCTTCGGTTCTTTTCCGGATTTAAGTGTAGAAACCAATCATAATAAAGAATCACTAAGCTGCTTTTCCCGCTGAATGCATCCAGTAGGCTTGTTCGCGTTGCTTGAAATCCCCAAACATTTTTGCACTTGAAATGAGATAAATATATATTCGGCCGTTGGAGAGAGAGAAAGCGAAGATACTGAGTGCAAAAAGTGCAAGCAACGCGAACAGACCCAATGACGTCTCGCGCGGTAGTTGGCGCGTTGGATGGCGCCGGATTCTACGCCGGATGATGAATTTGGACGACACTGACGACACCGACGACATCAGTGATCAGTTGTGCCAATGCCACGACGGTCCCACGGTGGATGTATCGTTCGTTCTTTACGCGCGCCAAGGATGTTTTAATAAAATAATTCGGCAGCGTCACGCGGTTGAGTCTCTTCGTCTGGACGTTCTCTCCCGACCAACGTAGTTTCGAGCGCGGTGGGCGCGTTACTTGCGACAAAACGTCGTAACGTCGGCTTCGTGTTCCGGTAGTCCGCCATTACTGGCGTGCTCCCGCGGCATACAGTCCGGCGTACCATCCGGCTTCGTCGCGGAGCTGAAATCCTTTATCCCGTGAGTGCGGTCAGGAGGTTCTTTCAACAATAATCATGTGAGTAACCGTGTCACGTTACGCGAAATCGACGGTTGTGGAAAATTTTGTTTGGATTTTAACCCTTTATTTTTCTCCCTTTCACGCCCGCTGTTTTGTTATTCAGGGCACGGAGCCGAAAGGACAGCACGGGTAAGAGCGACTCCGAAGCTACGGATAAGGAGAACAAGAAGGAGAGAGGCAGAGAGAAGGAACGGAAGAAACGGGCGGCATCTTCTTCCAGCAGTGGATCTAGGTGGGTAATGCTACAAACGATAATAAAAACGTTATTAACCCTTCTGTCTGTATACGTTTTTTTGCACTCGGAGCGTAATACGTGGGTCTATCACATTCAACGCTTTCTTTCCCTACCTTAAAATATTTAAAATCTGAAAAAAATCACAAAACATTTGTACGTTGTAGGCTACGGTCAACGTGACGCTACAAATGCTTCGAAGCATTCCTCTTCTCTTTTCTTTCAATGAAGAAAGAAGGAGAAGAAGAACGCTCCAAAGCATTTGTAGCGTCACGTTGACCGTAGCCGTAGTCGACGATTTTATAGTCACTTTGATAAACATCGTTTATTTAATATTTTCTGGCAGGCTTGCAAGCTTTACAGTTACGAGCAGATATCATTTTGACTCAGACGCCGTAGACCCCTGTATACAGATGGAGGGTTAAATCTTGGGTTTACAACTATTTGATTCCATCTTGGTTATCACGTTGGTTAATAATGTTGAATTTACTCATGTTTATGTGTTTTCATCGCAATGGAATATTTTTTCATATTCAAAAGTTCTTGCGTAACTAAAAGTTAAACCTAGACCTTTCGTTCGATGACCGATTGTTCTAACATTTAAACTATCCAATATTTTGAATTATATTTTATTAATTCATATATGTGAAAATATATTCGATAGCTCATCAGATAGCAGTTCAGGATCTTCAAGCTCTAGCAGTGGCAGTAGTTCTAGATCAAGCTCCTCTTCCAGTAGTTCATCTAGTAGTTCTGCTAGCTCTTCAGCCAGTTCCAGGGAGCGAGGGAGAAAGAGAAGTCGTAGCAAAAGCGTCGATGCCTCGCGGAGACATGACAATAAGGAGAAGGAGAGGGATAAAGAAAGAGAAAGGGAAAGGGATAGGGACAAGGATAGGGATCGCGATAAAGAGAGAAAGAAAGGAAATAATGCTGTTCCCGAAAAAGCTAAACAAAAAGCACGATCCAGGTATTGTATTTGTTATAAAATTGGCTCTAATCTTTTCTTGCTTATAATTAATTATCAAGTTAATAATCATTTTCTTAATTTTGCAGATCTCCCTCCCCACGTAGGAAGCGTAGAGAGCGTTCGCCGATTCCTAGGCCAACAAAAATACACATCGGCCATCTAACACGGAACGTCACCAAAGATCATGTCATAGAGATATTTTCCGCGTATGGTCAAATAAAGATGGTTGACTACTCTTTGGATAAGCTTCATCCCAATCAGGGTAGGGGATTTGCCTATGTCGAATTCGAAACAGCGGATGAAGCCGAAAACGCGATGAAACACATGGACGGAGGTAAAACGCGATTTATACGTCATATCGATTTCGTACTTAGACCATTTTATTGTCATGCTAACGCATCTTGCGTCGACCTGTTCACAGGGCAAATAGACGGCCAAGAAATCACGGCTGCTCCAGTATTATTGCCGAAGCCCCGACCGTTGCCGATGCGCCGTATGTCGCCGGGCATGGGTAGGCGCGCCCCACCACGATGGGGAGGCGGTGGTAGAAACACCCCGCCACGTTATCGCAGACGTTCGCCGCTCATGAATCGCCGTAGAAGCCCGCGACCACCGAGGCGCAGGATAAGAACTCGATCGCGAAGTCCACCGGGGAACCCTCGACATCGACACCGTCGTTACACAAGATCCAGTTCGAGTAGTTCTCGATAATGATTTTTCATTGCATTGTATATACAAGATATCGAACTAGATATGACCAACATTGTCGTGCAGTTGTGCTACTGCACTGAAAAAAAGTAATGTGTAACGATTACGTCTTAATAATGATAAGGTACGTTCGCCAATGGCGATCATAAACTCTCGTTTATATATATATCACAACAGTTTCATGTTTCGTCAAAGCACACTTTTGAAATATATTAATTTCGCAACATGTATTGATGGTCTTTCGTAGTTGATACCTCAAGTTTTTACAAACTAGTTGTAATATTTACATCATTCACAACGCTATTTATAAGATAAATGAACATTTGTAGAAAGAATTGACTGTTCAAAAAAAAATTGATATTGATCTATTTTTTTCTTGTTTCTTCCTAATTTAATTGTATTTGGTGTGCTAAAAATGGATCATGGAATTAAATAATGAACAAAAAGACGGACAAAATCATTTTTTCAGTAATGCTATGTAAGAGAAATGACAAACAGTCTGAAGAAATGTTTCTCTAATATGAGATTTATATTTTAAAATATTGGTTATAAATTCAGAATGTTTATCTTTCACTTTTAGCAAATGAGGTATGTGTATATACACGTATACTCATTTGCTATATTTATTCAGTTTTATCTGCAATCTCAAATTCGATATATGCGAATCTTCATTGTTGATTTGAACACACGTTTTTAAAGCAAAGTCAACCATTTTTATTTGACCATACATTGAAAATTGTATGTGTATATATTCATATTTATGTATATATAAACATATAATTCGTTCGTATGTATAAAAAAGAGAAATATATTTTAGAAATTGTTTATATATAAATATATATGTATGTATATATATATATATATATATATATATATATATATATATATATATATATATATATATATATTAAAATTATTATATGTTTTCGTGCGTATTTCTTTTACAGAATATCTATTTAATAGAAATCGTTATAATTTTGACCTCATTTTCTGTATTAGGATCAATTAAAAACTACTAATTACTTTGCTACACAGTACAAGCACACGCGCGCGCGTGTATATATATATATATGTGTGTATATATATATATATATATATATATATATATATATATATATATATATATATATATATATTATATATATGAACAATTTATATAGGAGGAATCCTATATATATAGGAGCATCATTTTCTCTTTTTTTCAGTTTCATTCCTGTTTCTTATACATATAGTTTTAGACAGGACTGGTAAAAATACTGAAAACAACAAGATTGATAGAAACTATGATTATTAGACCCTTTTACAAAGAATCAGTTTTAGAAAAAACCTATTCACACAAAATCCTCTTTTATACTTCGCGATATCTACATGAACAAAATCATTGCATCACATTGTAACTTTGCGTCGATGAAAAATATCTACAATTTTTAAACTGCGTGTGTATAGTTTGTTAATTATATAATATACAATTTTACTGTGATTTTACAATATAAACGGAACAGAGTCTGGGAATTATTTCGATTACTCGGAAAAATCGCGTTTTTTCTTTTGAGGCACCAGGAATATTCGAACGTAACCTGGTCCATGGCACAGAACTTTTAAGAGATCTCGTAATTGGCTCTCTGGTAACACAACGACGTATATGGCTGAGAATTGAAAGAATGGTTAAAAGAGAAGGACAAAAATGTAATAATTTTAATTTTTGGGAACGTATTAAAAAACCACTGTGAATGTTACATGCACATGCACACAGTATTAAATATTCTTTGATTGAAGCACTTTGGCACGGACAAACTGCTGGTATAGTAAGCGTCATCCTGTGTTTTCGAAAATAAAATAAAAAAAGAATCTAATTGTCATAACTTTATCAGAGATAGTTTGATTTCATTTTATTTGTATCTTCGACTTTTTGGGATAAAAGAATCAATGATCTACTACTCTTGATTAATTTTTCTTTTTTATATCACAGGAAAGCACGAGAGTGCTTTTAGTCAGCATGCAAATGAAAAAAGCATGTGCCGCCGAAAGCCAAAGAACACATTTCATTTTATATACCCTCTCCTCTTTTTCTACCGTCTCTAATATACAAATTAAAGTCTAAGAAGTAAAATTTACATTCGATCATTTGTATATTACATCAATTAAATAAGGGCAAATCTTACGCGCACTTGTACGTCAGTAGTAGAGATTCAAGTTCATTTATACGTCGCAATAAATAAATAATTAAATAATTTTTTGAGTAATAATAGAGATCCGCTTAAACTCTTTCTCCTAACTCGGATTCGTTTTTTTCCCTTTTTACGTAGCCATCGCCTCACGTTCTATAATAACTATTAATATTACACACGATACTTTTTTAAAATGTACGCATAGTTATCGTCGTAATAATTAGAGCTCGTTACCACTACAGACAGTCAGATCACTGAAACTGCAGAAATCACATAACGACAGCGTTATTATTTGTGATACATCAGCGATGCCTCCGTAATTACTTCACGAAACGTCATCATTCATTTAGCCGCCGTTATTGGTGGAACACCGGCATTACTAGCAAGGCATCTTCGTTACGTTTTCACAATAGTTCTACGCGTTTCCGTACTCTTTTTCTCGATAACTATAAATATTATATATATTTATATAGTATCTATATACATTTTCTTTCTTTTTTTTTTTAAATAACGCTTCTTCTCTGTTAGCAAAATATCAGCACCGAGCTTCGAGAGTTAACTGGGTGGGGTGCTCAAAAGGTCGGCCCGTCAGTGCGTTCGCTCGCAGAAACCGAGGACGCCGGAACGATGTATCATCGAGACTGCGATCCGTCCTCTTTCTTATGAATATCCGCGTGCATAAGGGCGTTTTCAAGCGGACGTGACGGTACTCCTGGACCGGGTCCCGCTCTATGATGCATATGCAAGTTGCTGAGCGGACCTGGACTAGGGTCCTTACTTCTGAGCGTGTTTACCGGCGGTGGGGGATAGCCGGCGTACAATTTCGCCCGTTCCTCTTCTTCGGCTCTGAACGCCGCTACTAACGGGTTATATCGTAGCTGTTGTAACGTGTCGAACCGGTACTCCCGGAAAGGATCGCTCGACCAAGGGGCTCCCGGTTGACCGGCAGGCGCAGATGGCGGTGGAAAATGTTGCATTGGATGTGCGCTTAAACTGGGAAGCATGCTACGCGGCATAGAATGCGATGCTGGCATACTATGCGGATGCCTCGTAAGATAGGCATGCGGATGCGGGTGATGGTATCTCGGATCGGGCAGTGGATTTGGTCCAGGTCCTTGCGCGGACCCTGTCGTTCCGGGGCCGGGTACCGGCGGTCGTGGAAGCATTACAACTTCGTCGTCTTTGCTGCGTGGTTCCTCCTTTACGCGCACTTCCCCGGTATCCAAAGGCGCCGAGCCGTTTCTGAGCGGCGAACGATCTCGGGAAACAACCATATGTTGTCGATTCTGGTGAAGCAGTCTCTCACGTTCCATCTCGCGCCTCTCCATCTCACGGCGCTCCTTGTCCCGCCTTTCTCGCTCCCGTTCGGCCGCTTCCTGCTGTTTCCTCTTCTCTTCCTTCTCGCGTTCCCGCCTTTCTCTCTCACGTTGCTCCTCTCTCTCCCTCTCCCGTTCTCTCTCGCGTCTGATACGTTCGCGTTCCCGTTCGGCACGTTCACGCTCCCGTTCGCGTTCTCTTTCCCGTTCGCGCTCGCGCTCCCGTTCTTCCAACTCGGCGCGCCTGTCTATCGCAGGAGGTTCCGGCTTCAAGCCCCACGAAACAGTAGTCTGTGGGAATCCAGTAGTAGCGCGTTGCAATCTGAAATATTATATATGTATACATATGTTAGTGAAAAGAACGTTCACAATAAAAAAAAGGTGGCTCGATAGCTGATTGATGTTTTATATACGTACCCTCGCCATGGATCATGCACCGCACCAAGTCCACCTAGAGGCATTTCCCTTGGTGGAAAAGTTGAAAGATTCGGAAAATTCGGATTTGCCGCGCCGAATGTTGATGGATATCTTCCAAAAGGAGATATTCCTGTTCCTGTAATATAGAAAAAACAATTCTAACAATGATGTAAACACTGATAATTGTAATGCGGTTCGATGCATGTATCTACAAACATGAACGTGCGCATGTGAGAATAAATGTGAATCTTTGTTACCTCTATTACCTAAATGTGAGGTCGTTGCAGACAGAAATCCGACAGGATGGGGTGGTGGTGGTGGGGGATGAGCAGACGGCATGTTAGTTGGAAACGGAGGTGCCATTGATGGTGCACCGAGTCCAAGGCCACTGGCTGGTCCCCCTGGATAAAGATGGCCAGGTGGTCTTAATAACTCAGTTTTGGTACTAACGACACCTCCCGCCTTAGCTTCAGCCTGTTGCTTTTGTTGATGATTATATATCTCCCACGCAATGCGCACGTGCATTGCATTCCATTTTCCACTTTTCTGGATAAAAAGATCAAATGTTTAAATAAATATGTACAAGATGTGAGAGAAAATTTAGCTTTTTGTATAAAAGCACCTTTGGCGCGAACGGAGTCAAGTGATTAGGTGGCACGAAAGGTGTTGAAGGCGGTCCAATTCCGGGATGAAGAAGGCCAGTGTTAAAACCAGAATAACCAGAAAGGTTTAAGTTTCCACGAAAAAATGGCGATTCGACTCCTCCCAATTTTGGGATGTCCTTAAACTAATAAAAGACAATTTTCGTTTAACATCAGTTCACATGTATAAACGAGTTAAGAATGAATTGTGATCATGATCAGATAATTAGTATAATGGATATAATTCTTTAGTCTCATTGGATAATGAATACATTTCTTACAATTGGAGGTGGGAAAAGCGTTGACGCTGCAGCTGTTGGCAACAACGGTGTCGTGTGCTGATGTACATGCGTATGCTGATGCTGATGATGATGCATTTCCGTTCTAAGATACGCCGGTGGACCCAAATTCCCCACTCCAACTCCAACATTTCTGTCTTGAGACGCTAAGAACCTACTATCGAGTTCTCTCCTCAGAAGGTCTGCCTGACCTGTAACATGTGTCACCCCTTCTTTTGGTTAGTGCATTTATTATCTGCCCATATTCACATAGAACAAATTGCAGTGAAAAAAGTCAGATTATGAGCTTACTTGTTTGGAACAGAGACTCCGCGGAAAACGGATTAGGATTAGTCGTCGGCGGGGGAAGCGAGGGCAGTGAAGTATGCGGGCTTGAACTAGACACTGGCGGTGGTAAAGGTGCTGCGAACATCGGTGGTGGAAACGTGTGTATGCCGAGTGGTACTGGTGGCGGAGTTGGCCTCGGGACAGACGTAGCTGTCGCTGGGGACAGCTGGGAAGCTGTGTTGCTGCTATTTTTTTAGGTAAAAGATTTTTATGCCGTTTTTGTGCTTAACTTTTATTGAAAGGTTACTTGCTCAGGCTTACCTAATCCAACCTTGTGGCTTGGTGTATGCAGGTAGACTAGAATTGGCTGGAGAGGAGGTGTTTGGCACACTAACAGGCGTTATGCTGCCTCGGCTTAGACTACTCACGTTACTGCTGTAACAAACATTACAATTATTATTATAATTTCCTGTTAATTTATCGAATTACTCAATTCTGACAAACGTGGCCGTAATGCCGTGATCAGAAGGAAATATTTTACCTGTAACTATCCCTTTCCCGACTGGGGCTATGTCCACGTGGAGAGTTGTTGCTTCGTCCAGACAGACTGCAGGCCACCATGTCTCTATGAGCGATAGTATTTGCCGTGGTAACTGTATTAGTTATAGTGGATACGCATGTTGTGGTGGCAGCGCTCAATGGAGTATTACTATGACTCGCGAGGTTATTTCCTATAGTCTGTTTTAGGTTGGTACAGGGGGAAGCTCTACTTCCTCTCTAAAATACAATTATTGTCCTCGTTGATAAACACTCATATCCCGTACTTGAGATAAATATTTGTCACTGACATACTACGTAACCAGTAACTTACCACGTCAGCGCGAGACGAAGCAGAATGAGAAGGGGATGGTACCGCGGGTGGCAGATACGGGCTGTGATTTAAAGCGGTGTACGGAGTGTAGAGCGGTGGATACGACGGTTGTGTCTGCGGATACGCAGCTATAGGTATGGGCGGTGGATAACTCGTGGTGGCCGCCCCGTTCGATGGTGCTGCCGGCGTAACACCTAAACTGGCTACCGCTGGACTAGTTGTATGACTCGAGACGAGAGGCCCAATAGGTGGATGCAATGCAGGTATCGTAGTGTGCGGTTGCTGGGATAGAGAGGGTGGTGGCAGAGCAGGGGAAGCTGGCCGCTGTTGCGGAGCTATTGCACGTGGATTCGCTGCCAAAGGACTAGTCATCTGAAACAATACGTCAACAACGAATGTTACTACCTTCTCTGCGTGCGCAACAAGAGCGAGTTTTTATGCGTAGCTACTTACAGGAGGCTGGGATATGTGTGGAGGCAACGTGGGGCTGGGAGGACTCGGCGCTGTTGGAACTGGTGCAGACGCAGGCACAGGAGGTGGTATAGGTGCCGGAGCATTCGTTGCTGGATTAGAAGTTTGACCACCCGTGTCCGGTGGAGATCCGCCTGCCCCGTTTGTGGGTGGTAAAACGTGTGGCGAAGAAGACGGCAATTCGTCTAGAAACGAAAAGGAAAATTGCAGATGAGAAATATATGGCGCAATAATGGCAATAACGTTGTACTTTCTCGTTTCTAAAAGCATTTACTTACATTTACGTGTGAGAGGTGGTGGGGTAGAAGATTCAAAGAGTATAGATTCGGCATCCGAGCCCTGTAACGTACAAAATGGATGAAATTATTAAAACTGGATCGATTATTTTCTTCGAAATAGTGGAGTATCTACAGGAAATGTGCATACCTTATCGTCTTCTCCTTCACTATCACACTGAAACATCGAAACAATAAATTATGTACTTATTACCATAATATAGAAACATAATTTACGATCTTTCGAGTGTATTGATTAAATAATAGATACTTACGATATAACCTTTACCCGAACTGCAATGACTGCTAGCCTGTAATATTATAAAAGCAGACTCGTGAATAAATATACCAATTAATTTTCTAACTTTTCATTACTCATTTAATAAAGAAATTGATGTTGACGTGTGAAAAATATATTTTTATCTTAATTACACAGAAATTGAAGAGACTAGGGTATGCTAATACAGAAAACTATTGAACAGACGTCTGTTACACTTGGAGTCATGAAATAACATTTGTTACATACATTCCAAGTTACACAATTGCATTACTGTTCCAAGTTACGTGACTATAGCGGGTGTGGACTTACATCGCTGAGATGGTCCCTGGAACTGTCTGCGTCCTGGCAATCCCTAGGTATACCAGGGCCGTGCAACTGTTCAGACGCTCTGCCACTATCGTCGCTTGTACCTGCATCTAGGCCCTGCGAGAGAAATTTTCAACACCACCGTCACGTATCGCACTCTGATTGGCATATGTCAGCGAGAGATGGACTCTCGACGCGATTTAACCAAGATTATTCAATTACCTGGTTTAGCGTCGAGGGTGTCAGTATGGAATTGTGTGTGTAATGGTTGTGCTTGAAATTGTTTTTGATGTGGTGCTCGTTGTGCCTGTTATTCTGCCCCGTGTCCACCTTTGGCTTCTCCTCCACTATCGATAGCAGCGTGTGCAGCTTCTTGACATTATTTTTACCAGCTAACTTTATTGCACTCTGAAAACGAAAAAAAAAAAGATATATGAAGAATACTGTTTTGTGTACACAAATTGTGTGTATATACATGTACGCTCACAATCATATCTATATATATAAAACACTATAAATATATCTCATACATAGAATATAATATTCCACTTGTAACTTGTATTTTGCAATGTAATAACTTCGTCATTGCACTTGATTTTATTTCTACGTTGGCCGCATTATGCAGAAAGTAGCGGAAGTGCATAAGCAGTAAATACATTTGCAAAAATCTACCGTCATCACAAATTCTAATTTAACATTCAGCGTCCGCCTCATTTGCATTATCATTCTCATCGCGGATGTCGAGGAGCCGTACAAATGTTCGCCGTCATTTTTTTACATCAAAAATATCAGCACCATATTTATCGATCTAAAAAATCGTTCGAGTCGCGATTTCAAATCAATTCATGGATATGCAAAAGAGATGCGCCCACCTGCGGTCGCGAGAAAACGCGAAGCGTCGCCGCGAACGGAGGAGCACCCGCAGCCAAGCAGCCGCTAGTCCGCGGTGTCGAGTTTCATTCTTCGCGCCCGCGCGACGCCGCTCCTTAACGCGCGGCGGCGGCGGCGGCGACGGCGGCGGCGGTGACAACGACGTCGCCGAGAGCCATGCTCCCGCACTCGCGCCGAACGAGATTCCGCACTTGTGTGTCGCGCACGCACCCCGACGCGTTAGCAACACAGCACCGTCCGACGTAAACACCGTGCGAGCGAGGCTACGAGAGCGACGGACTGGACGTGGACGTGGACGTGGACGGCGGCGATGACGGCGGCATCGGGAACGTCATCGACGACGTGCAGTCGAGAGAGCGCGCCGGAGTCCGCGCGGCGAACGATCGCGGAACTTTCACGCTGTTGCGCGCGGCCCCGCCGGCGGAAAAAGCCCGAACGAGAGAGAGAACCGCCGCCGTGTCTCCTCACCTTGCCTTGCCCGCGGGATACGCGCCTTCAAACCACCGCGATGGTACGTGTGCACATTTCCGAACGCACCGCGTTCTCCTTCATTCTCCGCTCCGGGCCGAACGCCGAACAACGTTACCGGTTGTGATCCACCACGGTGCCGGGGATATCTCTCTCTCGCCCGCGCTGCGGACTCCCCCGTTGCTCGCCGTCGCCCGCCGACGACGTGGAGGATGACAACGGCGACAACGACGGCGCGTCTCGGGCCGCGACGAACTGGATTTTTCGCGATCGGACGCACGGCGCGGGATAATCCTGGCCGCGGACGGGCGCGTTCGTTCGCAAGATGACAGAGGGATTTCGCAGGCACCCGTGTCTCGTGTGCGCGATGCAGCACGGGAGTGCTGCTGGTGGGGGGGAGCGATGAAAGAGAGCGGGGAGCGAGAGGAGGCGAGAGAAAGAGCGCGAGGAGACGCTAGGTAGGGAGGGGGACCGGGGATGGGAGCGAGGGAGAGAGAGAAAAAGAGGGAGAAGGGAGAGAGCGAGGAAGAAAGAGAAGACATTGACCGAACGAGCAGCCGCGCGACAAGGCCTTCGTCGTGCCAGGCCAGCTGGAAGGAGCGAGCCGCGATCCGATTGCTCTTTCTCGCTCCCTCTCTCTGTCTCCCCCCACCCTCTCTCGCTCCTGTCCCTCTTTTTTTCGCGACGACGGCGTTGCGTTTTCTCCCTCCGATCCACGCGGCCACAGGACGTCGCGCTCTTCCTCCCTCTTTCCCCCTCCCCACCTCCTCCCCCGCCATTCCCCCTCCCTCGTGCCACGGGTGGGTACCAAAGAAAAGAAGGGAAAAAGCCACCAGAGACCTCGCGGTTGGCGCAAAAAACCACCGCCGCTGCCGTTCGCCGCGGCCGCCGCTACCACCACCACCACCACCGCCGCCACCGCCACTGCCACCGCCGCCCGGCAAAAACCGCACTCCACCTGCGCACGTGTGCCAACTGCGAGTCGAAACCCCCTAGGACGTGTTCGTCGCGGTCGGATCGCGTGCTCCTCGGCGACGCGAATTAATTGAATAAAACCTCCGCGGCCGGAGCGCTCCGTTTCGCGGAAGGTGCGGGGCGCTCGCGAGAAAAGATACGTCTAGATTCTCGCGATACGCGTCGTCGAGGGGTTCCTCCCCCGATCGTGTCCTCGGAAACGAGAGCTCGCTCGCGAGATGGTACATATTTTTTTCCTCCCTGATTTTCTCCCCCCCCCCCCCCCCTCTCTCTCTCTCTCTCTTTTTCTTTCCGAGCAAAGATGCGCCAAGACGTGATTGATGAGAGCTATCACAGTTGGCAAAGCCGCTCGTTCATTCATACGGCTGCAGCCGAATCAGCTGACGCGCATTATTCTTAGAGATAGTCGCACATTGTGCCCGAACGACGCGATGTTTTGTCAGATTGAGATTAACCGGGCTCCCGTATACACCACCGCGTTGAACGAGGCGTCACCTCGCGAACGTCGATTCGTTTCCCTTTCTCCATACAGGGAGTGCGCTGTACGATATTACCGCGACGTACGTTTTTCTAACAAACAACACAGCTCTTCCTCCGCAAATCGCGCGCGGGTCTGTGTACGTGAATTAATTTACTTTTTTAATTAATTTACTTTCCTCCCTTCCTGCTTTTACCCCTTTCTTTCTCTTTTCTTCTTTTCAAGCAAAAAGATGCGAACAACGCTCGCGCCAGAGATTGTTATTAGATGATTCGCTGCCTGGTTTTCGAGACACTCACGACACGCTCGCCGTTTGAATTTATAGTACGAAACACTCGACCAATTATCGCGCGCTTATCATTTGTAAATATATTACAAAAATGATATCAGATAAGTAGGTACTTAAAAAGCCGTGTGACTCATGCTACATATATATATGTATATGCGTGTGTTTTTGCGTACGTATGCGCGCGTAATAAAGGCCTGCTCGCAAAAATCGAGCGAGTACCCCCTGATTGACGTTAATACCGCGTTGGACAGCAACGTACGCTATCATCATGTATATCCACAATGATTAAATCCTTTCTCCCGTTTTGCCCCGCGACCACGCCGCCGCGCACGCGAGACCGTACCCCGGCTTTAAATTCCGCGAATCCCCCCCGTATGGCGTTTACCGGAGGTATGTCACAATGTATATAGTTTCGCAAGAAGGTACGCACACGATAATTCATTACGGCTGCTGCATGTATTATTATGTACCTACATGTAATCGAGACGCGCTCCACAGCGCGATACCGTACTGCCGCGATGTCGCACGAGTGAGGTGTCGTCCCCCTCGTCGGTTCCCCTCCCCCCCAACCCGAAAATCTGTCCGGACGAGCAATCGCTCTTCGAACGCGAGGAACGGGAAAAGAAAAACGGGTGTTCTGGAAGCGGCAATTACACGAGCGCGATTCAAGCCGACGAATTACATGACTCGTTGATTCTGTAACGAGCTGTTGTGGCCCCTGTCGTCCTGTCCTCAAGATTATCCTATTACGGGAACGACGCAAGAACTTAATTACGATTAAACGCCCGCATATAAATGGAAAGGAAAAACCAACACGGGTGTAATTATGCGTTTAGGCGCATGTAAAAAAAAAAAAAAAAAAAATTTCTCGCACTTTGTCCCCCCCCTGCTGCTGCTGCTCTCCTCTCTTTTCTTTCTTTTTTTTTTATTTCTGCAAGTCACGGCTCACGCCGCTCGAGGGGCAACGCGACGCGATAACGCGTTCTTATGCCGATATACACAGGACGTTACGGCGTAACGAAGTTTCTTCACGTCGCGATACGCAACGTTGCATATTATTATGCATATAATTTTTGTCCGTGCCCTCTTCTCCCGCTCCTCTCCCCCCCCCTTCGCCGTTCCTTTTCATTTGGCCGGGTGATTTGCGTACAAATGGTACACGAGTCTTTATGGAAGCTATAAAAACGTACGCTATTGTCCATAAATCTGCGAACGCGAATAAAAAAAACGGGATAGATTTTATCAATGAAAATGTATTCTTTTCATATTTACTTCGGCGCAACTTTTGTTGCAAATAAAAAACACAAGCGCAATAGAAAAAATCAACACAACGCTGCTGCGTCGAGTATATTGAGATGTAAAAGCCATTAGTATTCGTGAATAAAAATACTAGAGTTGAAGAGTCGCGGACGCAACAATCGGGCGGGCCCACTTTTTCCAACAAACGACTTGTTTACCATTTGCCATTCAATGAATAGTGAAATCTATCGATTGTCTAAAAAACCGCGCGTGCGTGAAATTAATGCCGCGCATACACACATGTCGAAACGAGTAAAACACACGGATCTGTATACCAATCTTCCTCCTACAATAATTGAGGAACGCGTTATTAAATGTAATAAAAGTGTGCCAATAGTACAAGTAAAAAAAAAAAGTATCTTTATTATTGATTCATTTACACTGTTCATGTTGCAAAGAATGCCGAAAATAGCTATAGGTTTCTAAATTTCCATCTTCCCATTTTCCTATGCTAATATTTTGCTGCCCGTGCGAACTGTGTTCAGGTAATTTATTCGTAATTAAAAAACATAATTTTAAATAGACTACCTGTAGCGATACTGTAACAAAAACACGTTAAAACTGCAAAATCTTGCAGTTTTACTGCTGTTTACGAAAATTGATTTAAATTAAATTCTAATTAAACGTGCGCTCGAAAATATTTTTTAAAAAAGGGAGAAAGAAAAAGGAAGATCTTCGAAAATCGAGGAATGTCCGATCTCAGCCTATCTCCGCGGAAGAAATCTCTTGAGTCGTCGCGGAGAATCGCGGTGTGCGCGCGCGAGGAACAAGATAGAAGCTTCCACGGCACGGCGAGCGAAGTTCCTTGGCTCCGCGGTGCGAATCGTGCGGAGGGAAGGTCGTTCTCGGGCGCGCGGACGTTCCACCGTGGGGCCGTGCCGTGCATGCCTGCGTGCGTGTAAGCGTGAGTGCGTGCGTGCGTGCGTGCGTGCGTGCATTCGGGACCGACCGACCGGCTACCAAAGTCGTCCGTCCGCACGCCGCGTCGCGGCGTTGCCGCGTTTCCGT